AAATGAAAACAAGCTCAAAATTTTTAGATTTATAGACCAAATTATACAGATCTAGGGATCATCTTTCATATTAAAGCTAAATAAAGTGAATGCTAATTAGCTGAATGGAAGTGAATGACATAACTTGAGATCAAAAGCCACCCATCTTTCCATTAATCCGGCCTAGCTGTCACTGTAGGTGGCGGTGGTGGCGATGTACGGTGAAGGGCACTGATTGTTACTACGGAGGCCTGACTGATCTCCATGACTGTGCAGGAACACAACAGAGGCCTCCTTGATGTTGGCTTTTGATGGAAGACTCCTGTCAGAGCGCCTCCATACATGTGTATGTATTTCTCCATAGAAAGGTGGAGTTAGCTCTCGTCACAGTGACCAATTAGCCCTGGCAGAGAGTGGCCTCCTGACCCTTGACCCCTGCTGGGTAGTCTTATCCATTAACCCCTTGGGCCCCAGCTGGAGTTGATGTAGTGTCCTTTCTTCTGGCGCTGCTAAACACACGGGCCACATTCACCCTGCAGCTTCGACTTTCTGTCTCTCTGGCCCTCTCCTCTGTGTCCCGGGTGTCAGCTCACTCCTTGTGTTGACCTCTTGAGTCCCTGATCGCTATGAAACTGTTGGTCCACCTCCAGCACCACCACACTGCTGCAGCAGACTCTCTAACAGAGCATCTTCTACACTGTATCTCTGTTTAGTTTGCATGGTGTCCTCTTCTTGTATTTGTATTATTTTCAACCATTCTCTCCCTAACTGTGATTACTTGCTCTTTAATAATGGTCAGTTTTATTTATTGACTCTGCCCGTTCCCATTATTTTGTCTCTATTTTTCTGTTAAAAGGACATTGTGTGCTACAAAAAATGTATGTCCAGCCATTTTACCTTGTAAAAATAAAGGTTAAATAAATACATTTCGGTAAAAGATGAGATGTTTACTTGAATTTATATACAGTGTAGAATGGATGGTGTGATGGACTGAATCCAAAAACCAGTTTAACAGCATTTTACCCCCATATGTGAACAAACCGTAGCAAAAGTGTCCTCTTGGATGCCCCAATAGACCAAATCACTGTGAAATCACACTGGCAACAACAGTCACTTTCGGGTAAACAACAGACAAACTTGAGAACAAAATCAGCAAACTTGGTTATTTCTGTCATTTTCAGCTCAAACTATAACATTTAAAGAGTTAAACACAGTGGTCGATCTATCTGACATTTCTGCTGTGCTAATATTATGCACTGTGTTGCTTTGCTAGCGTCTTTATTGAACCAGATCTACCAGCATGGAAGCTTACAATGTACTGCTGTGGATGGGGGGCTGCAGCAAAATGTATTTTAGCCACCCGAAAAACTCAATATCAGTTGAAGTGTTCACAATATTTGGATTATTTTCTCTACACTACCTCACACTGATCGAGGCAGTGGTAGACCAGCAACTCTGATATTCTCTAAGATAAAACTGAAAAATACTGTTTTTGTCAAAGGACTCTGGGATAAGGACTTCAAATTCACGGGCTGTTTCAAGCAAGGTAAATTGGTTAAGATATTCTAAAGATAGCATACACTTAAACTGATATTAATTTTAATTTTTTTTAATTTTTTTTTGGTAGGCCTTTTTTTAGGTGGCTAAAAACTAACCAGTTGAGGCAGTGTTTGCTCAGCGCCATTTCATTTTATGTATGTGAGGCTGAGGTTTTCTACCCGGAAGTTATCTTTAACAATGTGATTCAGTCAACAGTAGATAAAACATAACAAAGGGCCCTCTAGGGTGGCCTTAAAATTAGTAAAATATGATCTAGTACCATATAAGCCACCCTACATGCTAGAAAACTTTGTGCGTCCTGGTGCCCTTTTTATTTTTTTTCGCCCCTGCCCCTCAGACAGCCCGAGTCCACCACTGCCTATCAGTCAATGAAGGCAATTGATTATAAACTTACTTTGGGTTATAATGTTTTCTAATTTGCCTTGGTATGTCAGTGTACATTTCATAAACAAGACAAAGTAGTCAGACATTAAAGAACACGATGCACATGGTAACAGAAACAAAGTAAACTTTAGCCTTTAGCAAGGCACTGAACCCAGAACTGCTTGGGGTGCCTGTCCAAGGCAGCTCCCTCACTCTGACATCTCTCCTTTTAATGCATGTTCAGGTCCTGTTTGTGTATGTGTGTGTATTTTGGGCCTGTGTGTACATGATTACAGAGTGAAAAAATAAAATTTCCCTGCAGGGATTAATAAAGTATATCTTCTTCTATGATTGTTATGCTGTATGTATATAATTAGACTGAAATGTGACTTTACCTTGACTTGACATGAATATGATCTAATTTATCAACACTATAAGGAATATCTAGCAAGCACTTGCGATGATGATGACTATGATATTATTATATGATATAGTTCATCCACAAATATTTTACACCAGCAGGACGTAGATACTGGCCAATAGTTTTGTAGGTCACATGTGTCACCACCTTTGTAATGGAGCTGCTCTCCACATCACAATACATAGGCATTTAAATGATACTAATAAAAGAACCAATACAGGGGCAGTGACACTTGCTAACAGTGATACCGGCAGCTGTATTTATGGTTTTACTGCAGTAAGTTCTACAGTATATATCTCATAGTGTGAATGTGGATCAAGAGTCTTGACCTCAGTCTGAGTGCAAACATATGCAGAGCAGGTTCAGAGTTTAATGACTTCATACATAAAAAAAGTCATGTACTAGTTTGAATTATCGCTAAAGTGATAAACTTTTTTTTGAAGACGTCATGTTTTGACTGACAACATGTGCCCACATGAACTTCGTCTGGCCAGAGTTGGCATCAGTCATGACTTTCCCTGTTTTACGCTCCGCTGCCTGGGAGTCATGCCAGCCCTCTCACAGGAGGTGAAGGGAGAGTCAATGATCCTCTGTTCCCTGGAAGTTTTGTGCTTTGATCAGACAGAAGCAGCGCTGTACCAGAGAGCTGTGAAGGAGGTGACGATTGTCTTGTAAAACTGGATGAATAGTGTCCTGAAGTCTGGCTAAAACTTCCTGTGCAAAGAAGCTGTCCAGCAAGTGGAGAAATTGATTCTGATCTTTTGGAGTTTAATTAGCTTTAAATAACTAATGTGGCTCCTCACACATAGGCATGTTGATCAAATATTAAGTAAGTAGTTTGAAATGAACATTTTCAAGTGAAAGCTGCAGATTTTATTTGAGTTAAATGTCACTAGAATACCCCCCCCCCCCCCCCCCTCCCCCAAAAAAAAAAAAAAAAAAAAAAAATCACAAAAACGAATTTAATTCTTTTAGTTTCTTGTTGTTAATCTACTGTACATTATATAGTAGGCATAAATTCCCAAATGAGTTATGGTGCCCCCTGCTGATGGAGCAATAAAGAGTCATTTGTCACACTGAAAACAATATTTTTCCAAAGATTAAATGTGAGTATGTGAATGTTAGTAGTGAACACAGAACAGCACGTGGCAGCATGTTGTAACTTTAAATTCTTGGTGTAATTACTGTAACATTTAGCATGTTGGTTATGGCAAAGATGTGTTTTGAGATGGACATTTAAAAAAGTGTCCATCAAGTTGATCATGTATGTGTATAACCAGAACACCACTCATTGTATTTCATTCAAAGTTAGCTGTGAGGTAAGAATGAAATGAATCAACAAAACTTTTCCAATGACTTTAGTTGTTCTTTTATCTCAGACATGTTAGGATGTTACATACCTTGACACGTTTCGGCGGAAACTTCCGCCTTCCTCAGAAGTGTCACTTGGTGATTAAACACAAACGCATCACTCAAATATTAGATTAACCTACAATAAAACAGTTTGGGAGATAAAGCCTAAAAATACAATAAGCCTAATACTACTATCACTAATTGCTCTGCGAATATAAACTGTGTTTACAGCCAGAAAAATCTTTAGCATATTTCTAACACTTGTCCAAGAACCTGCTAACAAATCAATCCCAGCTGAATTAATGTCATATTTAGAGAGTTCAGTGTTTTATTTCCGACTCTAACAGATGCTAATGAGCCTTATTTCAGTTTCTTTTGTAGAACAGAGTAAAAGAGACATGGTCAGATCTTTAGAGGCCTCCTGGGTCTGAAAATCAAAGGCCCCATTATAAACCAAATAGAGCAACATCAGTGGATTACAAGGATCCCCTCAGTAGGGCTCCACTATGGAGGCTGCAGGTCAGCGTAGGGATAAAGTCTTTGGGGTGACATAATTCACAACCCTGTTAGGTTTTTTTAACTCTAATTTTAAAGCTGATGTTTTAAAAGCTTCTATATGATTTTTTTAATATAATAAAATGTTTTATAAGCAGCACAGGCCAATGAATTGTGTCAGACTTTATGTCACTGCTCACCAAACTCTCTATATTTTTTATTTAGTTTTGTTCTCTTTTAAAAACTACATTCAAGAATATGTGAATTTATAATATGAGATTTTACCGTACTATGGGTAGAAAAATATTGCCTAGGCCACACAGCTCAGATACCTCCTGACCAACTAGACATAACATGGAATATAAAGTTTAGAAACTGTGTGATATGTTAAAATTAACTACGACCTTTTCCTCAACTTAAACCCCTTAAAATTGAAAGCTGTGTTTCTTGTCACTACAGGAACTATGATGACAGCTATATATTTTTTACAGTGGGCTCTGTGTCAGTCCCAGATAAGGGCTGAAATGAATTATGCTATCAACATATCGGGTTCAGTGAACCTGTTGCCTGAAATGTAATGTGCACTTTAGATCTATGAACTTCAAAGAGGCTGTTTGTCTTATCACACAGCTGCACCACAACATCTTTGTAGAGGCCATAAAAGTTTTGCAGTCGTGGAAAGTAACTGAAGTACTGCACTTACGTACACATTTAAGGTACTTTCATTTTAAGTTACTTTAAACTTCTACTCCACTTTTCTATCTATCTATCTATCTATCTATCTATCTATCTATCTATCTATCTTTAACAAAATAATCCAAACCATGTGTTCATTTTGAAAAAAAACTTTTACTTGAAATATCAACATTTTCTCAGAAAGTATAAATAATGATTTATGATTGATTTCAATTTTTATACAAAAATAATACATTAGGAGGAGAAAAAAAAAAATCATGTCCTGTCACACAAGTAAGAGTGCCCTCTGATCAGATGGCAGTAGATGTGCCTATAATAACAGTCACAGACCAACCAACATAATAATAACAAATGTAATGACCTAATATTGAACAGGAGACTGGATCTGACACGCTTGCGATATGCAGGGTTTGATAGTCGACATTGCTTTTTTTTGTCTCGTAGAAACATGGGTAGTATAGTGATGATGTAATGCTGCCATATTTGGTCCCCATCTCGACCTTTCTCACCCAGCAAAGTCAAAGTATGAGTGAAACTGGAACTGTGTGTGGGCGTCTGTGCCCACAGCAGCTACTCCTTTCCCCAACAGCTCTCAGTCTTTGTGGATTCCTTCATGATTAGAGCAGCTGCTGTCACAACACCGCCGTCTTTCATGTCTCTCTCCTGCACAAAATACCAGACTAAGATGACTGTTTTGTTTCTGAATACTTGTCAATATTTTCATTCTAACCACCCCCAGGGGGGTCCTGACTTATGATGAGGAGTTATTAACAATATTTGTCCTATTTGGTATCTCTTCACATTGAGGCAGGAAGTGGGAGAAGGAGGAGGAGGGTGAGTCCCATTCCTGAAATTCACCTGAACCTGTGTGCAAACAACATGGAGGGGAAGGGCCACAGTTAAAGTGTGTGAGTCAGCCCTCCCTGCGTAGACATTGCAGGCTGACTCTTATTCTTTGGCATATTTGTCACATCCATCTGCTTTTGTGTTATTTTAAAGGCAGCTTTATCAACAGCAACTCCAGTATATATACCTATATAGCACATCTATATATATACCTATTGGTGACTTCATTGATAGTGCATATTCATTTCCAGTCTCGAGTGTGTGGAGTTCTGTGCAGAATCCAGTTATTCAAAGCATTGCATACAACTATTGACGCATTGCATAGTCCTTTCAAGATTGTCAAAGTCTTTTCAATCACAGTTTACACATTGAACAACTCCAAATGATGAATTCCTCGCATTCATCACCTGCACTAACGCTAGCACAGCAAAACTGAGCGTGAAAGAATAACATGGAAGACTCCTTTAAAGCCCAGTAAGAATGTCACATACATGCACAAGATCAATACGGGGTTTTTGTGATTGTCACACAGTTCTGCTCACGTGCAAGGCAAAGTGTGGAAGGAGGCATCCAGGAACTTGTTGTGAGTCTTTCAGCCTTCACAGAGGCTGATCAGTGTCTCTGTTAGTGTCAGGGTTTCTTCATAATTCCACCTTAAATCACAGTGTAAGATGTCCCAGAGCCTTCATTCAAGTCCGTACCGCAGCAGTTTGTGAGCACTTTTTGGATGCTTGGTTTTTGTTCCTTTGTAGTGTCAGAAAAAGAGGATGACAGGGGGGATTAAAAAAAACTGAATACTGTTTTCAAAGATTGTGTTAAAATCATCCTTGTTGATCATTTGTGTGCGACAGAGGGGGATCCAGTCTCCTCACTCTCAGGTGCAGTGAGGTTTTTTTTCCTTTTCCCCCCTCTCTGTACCCATTTCTCAATTTCACCGCCTGGCCCACCGTCGACGCTGCTCCTCTTGTTTTGTTGACTGACTCATCATCCAGCACGCCGTTGCCGGTTATTAAGAGTTGTCATGGTTACCGCAGTGAGAGGGTGGAAAAATGTGCTCCGGTTGCTGGGCACCGAGGAAGTCAGGTGGACGCTCTCACCAAGCTTGAAGAGGACACTGAAAGGAGAAGGAGAGAAATGTGAGACAAAGTAGGCAGGTGTTACATAAAACAATAAATACAATCTGTCCAGTGACACAGGTATATGTAATGTACATCAAGGCCTCCTTAAAGTGACACATGAAACATACATAAATACCAAAGCAACGAGTACATTTCATCATGGAAGGTAGCCTACTTATAGTTTTTCCATTTTATGCTACTTTATACTTCTACTGGGCTATATATATTATATGTTTTAATCCAGTATATTGATTTTACAGCTATAGAGCTGCAGCGATTAGTTGGCTAATCGATTAGTCAGTCAACAGAAAAATAATCTGCAACTTTTTGGACAATTAGCTCATTATTTAAAGCATTTTTTCATGCAAAATTGGCAGAAAATGCCCCTTTCAGCTTCAAAAATATGAATACCAGCTTTTTTCTACTTTATATCATACTAAACTGAATATTTTGGGGGTTTGGACTGACTAAAAAAAGACATTTAAATACATCAATTTGGAATGTGAGAAACTGGGGCAGACATTTTTCACTATTTTCTGACATTTTATGGACCAAACAATTTATTGATTAATTGAAAAAACAATCTGCAGATTACCTAATAATGAAAATAATCATAAGTTGCAGCCCTATACGGCTATAGTTACTTTGTGCTTTTTAGATTAAGATGCAAATGCAAAATATATCACAATATACAGGTTAAACTCAGGGGCATGGTAGTGGGGGGAGAAAAAGGACTGATTATGGGTGAGGGGCCCTCAAAAAGCCTGGGATGAAAAGTTTAGTTTTATTTGCAATATTTTATTTTTTAAGACATCAGCTCCATAACTAAATTAAAACTGAATGAATAAACTGTTTGAAATACCAAACTTTGTATACAAAAGAAGTAGTGGAGGCTCCCTGAGGCCCCTCTCACCCCTTGAGGGCGCAAAACAGTTTAGGCCGCCCCTGCACTAATGCAGCTAGAGCTAAGTAAATAACTGCTCATGTGGCTAGAGCACCAAGGCATGCATGGTTTTCCCCACGAAAGGGATATCAGGACTCCAGAAACAAAGGAAAAAAAATCACGTGGTACATGACAGAGGCATGGATCAAGAGAGGAAAGGCAGGGGGCACATCGAGACTGCTTTTGCAAAGGGAACAGAATTTGGTGCTACGATTAATCTACTATATGTAATAAGTAAAACAGCTCCATCATAACATACTACAACATAAAATGGAGGTTACATGATTCAGTAATAAAACACTGGTAAGATCCATTTTACTTTTGAAACTTTCAGTAGATTTAGTTGCTTTGATTTCAGGACTTTTACTTGTCATGAAGTGTTTTAATGATGTGGTACTTTTACTTAAGTAAACAATCTGAATACTTCTTCCACCACTGGTAAATACATCACCCCTGCACCTTCATATGCCACACCTGACCAAATACATTCCTCATCCCTCTTCTCCTGACTCTGTAAAGCCTTGTTTCCATTCAAATGCCCTCTCAGTCTCTCTTTTTTTAGATTGTTTGTGGAATTTATTTTTCCCCTGCCTCTCCAAGGGTGGAGGCAGGTGACCCCGGCGTGACCCTGCGGCCAGCAAACAGCCTCACCTGATAAAGCTGACCTGCAGCTAAGACTCGAGTCATTAGACGCAGAGGTGAGTTTGGAACAGGCTCAGGTATAATGGAGGGTTCTCGGTAAACAATGAGCATTATAAAGCCCGAGCGCGCTGGTCGTGTCACGAGAAGAAGGCTGCCCCGTCCAAATAAAGTCCTGATAAGAAAATACCTGGGAGAGCCTGCTGGCTAATTGCTCTCTAAATAAATGGTTTTGTGAAATGCCACCCGGTGATGATGCCAGTGGTGGAGAGTAACCACCAGTACTTTTACTCCAGTACTGTAATTTTGTACAGTTTTGAGGTACTTGTGGTTTACTTTTAGTACTTTTTACTCCCATACATTTTGGAGGGAAATATTTTACTTTTAATTCCATTTTTTTGACAGACGTGTGAGTGGCTACTTGTCATATTAAGATTTTACAAAAAAAAAAACAGGAAAATGCTTCTAAAATACAATGCATTTTTACATTTTAGGAGGGAGTGCTTAGCTGAAGACTTTTATGTTTGCTGCTGCATTTTATCAAATCAAATATTTATTAATTTCTTACACTGAACTGTGACTTTTATTCTTGCATTTTGTACCCATCTTAGTATATTTTAGGTTGTGTTATTTTCAATACTGTAGGTCTTTAATGACATTTTTAGTTGTATTCAAAAGTCCTTTTGTGATGTGTTTCTTTTGCACTCTGTCTCAATGCCTCTGATGTTTTATACAGAGCACTCCCAATTGCCTTGTTGCTGAAATGTGCTATAAAATTAACTTGCCCTGCTTTGCATTAGAGCTGCAACGATTAGTAGACCTATCAATAAGTTGATCAACAGAATATAAGTCAAGAGAGAATACTTAAAGAAATAGTTACAGGCTCTGAAATTTGAAAATTTGCTGCTTTTCTTGGTATTATATCTTGATAAATTAATTAGTTTTGTGTTTTGGACTGTTGGCCAGACAAAACAAGACATTTGATGACATCACCTCAGGTATTTTACAGTTTTTCTGATGTTTGAAACATTTAATTGACAAAGAAAGTCGGCAGATTAACTGATAACAAAATGAATGGCCAGTTGCAGTCCTACAATGTATTGTTAAAGATTAAACCAGTGGCTCCCAACTTTTTTTTTGGCTTGCGACCTTCCTTATAAAAATCAGCTCCTCGTCAAGTCAATATTTAGTTTTCATACATTGGAACGGTCGATCAAATATCTGAAACCACTTCATCTGTATTGTTCCTACAGTATTTGAAGTATTACAGTAATTCTTGAGTATGTTATCACAAATAAGGTGTAACAGTGAAAAATAGTATTAGTTGACATACTCAAATGACTATTTTTATTGGTATTATTTTGAGTATAAACCATCAAACTGACAAGATGATTTAAAATTCAGAAATTAATATTGAAACTTAAGTATTCTTACATTGTGTTTTTTTACACAAGTAAAAGATCTGAGAACTTCTTCCTTCACTGGGTAAAGCTTTAATTACAACATACTTTTTTAAGTGCATTAATAAACAGCAGATTGTCCCCAACAGAGAGAGTAACACCCTGGCCAAAGTGTACCCATATTTTGCAGCCTCAAAAAGATTTGTTATACTTCTGCCATGTATCCTCTGCAGAGGATACATGACACTCTGAGCTATCATCCCATCACCCCATCTGTCTGTCAGTAGCAGCGTGGTGGTACGAGTGCTCGGCCTCAGCGTGGGAAATCGAGCGTGTGAAAGCACCGTGGACAACATTTCAGGCTAGAGCGATCACCGAGAGCAGGGAGAAGTAGGAAAGAGGAAGAGGTGTAATTACCAAAAAAGAAAAAAAAAAAAATTCCACCCCCCCACCCAGCCCATCTCATCTCCAGCCTCACTGTAGCATGGAGGAAAGTAGCAGCACACAAGGCCTGAGAACTTTGATTAACAGCGGGGCTCATTTCCTGATCGCAGAGGCAACTCTCACCAGGGAGAGGAGAGTAAAAGGAGGCACCATTAATCAAGAGGCGTTCAGGCTGAGGGAACAGGTGATTGATTAGATGTCTGTTTAAGAGGAAATAGGAATTCTGAGGAGTAAACTATCCATATATCTGTCTCGTCTATGACTTTGGAGCCAAATGAAAGCATTTGAACATCAGCAGCAGCCCCAAACAAAAACTTTGAACAGTTAAAGAAGCAGTGTGCACGGCTACTCAAATGATTTGTGTGCAATTTTGGTGATTTTACTCATTTAAACTACGTGACTGAACTGATAAAATTGTATTTACCCAGGAGAGACCCCCGAGTTGCACCATCTTGTTTACAGGAGCGTCCTAATGTGACAGGAATTAAACAAGTCAACACACAATCGTAACACACACACACACTTCTCTCTGTCATGATGTAGATCCTACTGTTAAGTGTGCGCTGTTAATTGTGTCTTTTCTCTCAAACAGAGCAGAGTGAGGGTGATTTGTGTGTATCAATAGGTGAGGAGTGAGCTAATCAAAGTGTTACAGTACTTCTGAAAATTGAGATCTGATGAAAAGGTCATGATCCCTGTTGCAAATTGTAAGAATTACAACAAAAGCTGCAGTAACAACTCAGATTTACTGCTGATTCTCATGCAAACGCCCCCACACTGATCACAGACTTCGAGTTTTTCACACTAAAACACACAATGGCAGGCAGACAGAGGTGAGAACATGCATCTTAGTGTGGCCTCTGTGATGTGATATGATGTGACAGAGTAAGGACTGACCGTCTTGCTCGAGGACATGGAGCTGATGGTGCTGATGCTGTTGGCGTCTGTGACCACCATGGCCGAGGGGAAACGTGACGGGTGGGAATATTGCGGGGGCTCTTGCTTGTGAGGATACACTGCAAAGGAAAGACAGACAAATAATTAGGTTTCAACAGTGGAACGTGTTTTTTTTTGAAACAGGAAAAAAAAAACAATTTTTTTTGTTAAATAACGAGGGTTAGTTACTGAAGATGCTAAAGTTGCAAGAGAAGTTCTGATCTAAAATCTAGAATTTGTGAGTGAAGCTTTCGCTTTATCTTTCTGCTTTTACTGTAATATTGAGAGACAAATTAGAAAGTGGCAAAAAATTTGACTGTTCTCATCATTTGGGCCGAGTTGTGTCCATGCATGACTCCAAAATCAGATTTTGGTTAACAAAATCAAACCTATTAGATCACAATAGGTTGTTTTTTAGGCTTTATTTCTTAAACTTCATACGCATTTTAGCTTTCAGTGCTTGAGAAGTTTACACTGCAGTATCTATCCAGCTGTTATTACTCACTGGTTACCAAGCTTGAGACCTCTAAAAGGTACATTTTATTTATTTTTTCTTCAATTATTCATTTTTTGCCTTGGGAAATACTGGACAGTTTTAGCTTTTCGGCCCTCAAAAATTGTTGTGGTAAGCAAATTAAAAGAGATAAATCACCTTTATAACTGCTCACACAGATGGTATACCAGGGATACTTAATTTGCTTTGCCTGGGGACGACTTTTGCAAAATGACAAAAGACCAAGGGCCAATTAATAAATGAACAATAATATTTATCAGCATATATAATGAATGAATTGCCTGTTTTAAAGCTTTTGACATTTGCTGTCCTTATTCATCTTTGCGAAAAGGCAAATCCAGTCAGAGCAGCCCTGCACTAGTAAAGTGTGAGCAGGGCCATTTCTAGGATTTAAGGAAATTTGGGGCATAGTGCAAACCTCTGCTGAGGAGTCCAGCGGCTCAAACGCCTAGCACTTTTTTTTCGGGGCTTATTTAAATGCTTCTTTTTATGCACCCTGGCACCTTAATCGCATTCAAATAATAAAAAAAAAACCTAGTGTGAATCAATTTATTTTTATTGTGAATTAGAAAATGGTTGGTGGATCAGCCAACACGTGGGCCACAAGTTAAGGTTCACTGCTTTATAGCTTTTAAAGCAACACAAGCCAAAAAGGTTGGTGATATAACAGATATATCATGACTAAAGGCTTATATACAAAGAAGCTGAGGGTAGAACTGAGTGTTACTGACTGTGCGAGTGTGTGACAGTAGCCATGAACGGCTGCTGGCTCATGTGGCTGGGGGACTGCTGCATCAGGCTCTGCTGGTGGGGGCTGTGGAGCTGCTGGGAAAACTGCACCGGTTGCAGCGCTGCAAGGCTGCCCGCCACGCTGTTGATCACTGGCACTGTCTGAGATTGCGATGTGTTTAAACCTAATGAGACACAGAGAAACCTTAGTCAAACTATACCATGATGAAATAAATTCAATGACTTTTTTTCCAGGAGGGACGGAGGACTTACTCTGTGCTATGGCCATGACTCCAGTTAGGGGCATGATGAGGTTCTGTGTCTGCTGGTGGCCGTGATGGGAACTGTGGATGTTGGTCAGTGTGCTGACTGGAGGAAGTCCTCCACCTGAACCTGAAATCTGGGGAAAGAAGAAGGAAATCAGCAAAGTGAAAGTACTGATTTAATGCTGGAATATTTGTTATAACAGACTACAACACCGTAAGTTATGAGAACTTTGACTTTCTGCTGTGTAAATTCACATGAATGTATTTTCAAAGTAAAATAGATGTTGGCTGCAAAACAAACAAAAGACATAAATATTGACTTGGTTCAGATTCTTTTGTATGACACTGTGCTTGTGTAACTCCACTTGTACACAGCACACAAGCAAATACTGATTAAACACAAAAGGTGCAGAAATAAATCGTCCTAAAAATGCAGCTAGAAGACATGAGTTTGTGAAGCACACTGACAGTGTTTGTAACTGCATGTTGATTCATACAAATGCTTACACACGTATTTGCTAAATAAACAGCATTTACAGTATCAGCTATCTGGATGGAGATCCTCCCACTCGGTGGGGCTGCAACTATTTGACTACTGCCAGCTGCCCACAGTGGGCAGACCGGTCAAACACACATCTGCCGATAAGAAACTGTCAGCTCTGACCTGCTGCACTCTACACTGCCTGCCCTCGATGTGGTCATTTCCCATACTGCCGCTCCAAAAGGGAGAAGTATTTTGAACTGACAGGGAAGTTAGTGAACTACATGCAGCTGCTTAACTTTATATTTTATGTCATCTTGGACAACAGAAGTAGTTCAAATGGTAGAATTTAGGGTTGTTGGCATTTTTTTTATACCAAAATAGTATACAATTTCCAGTAAATCACATATATCAAAAGTATTGCACCACCACTCAAACGCTATAGATCCATGCACAGGTTTCCTTGTCACTGATCAAATATTGGACTAGGGCAGAAGGGAGAAACTCTGAGGTAGACACACAAAAAAAATCTGCTACAATCAAATGTTGGCGTCATTTCTTTGACAGAACAAGCAGCGCTCCACCTGTGGCTCCTCTTTGCGAGGCATTTAATCAATAAGAGCATAATGTTTCTTTGTCAGGTTTATTGGCTGAGCGACATACATGCCTGGTACACTCTGGTGAAGGTTGCATGCTACTCCAGCCATGGCCTGCCACCCCAGCTCCACCTTCCAAACAGAGCAGCACAATGTGCTAATTGTTGGCTCTTGCCCATGGGTCCATGGGAGAGGAGGTTCAGGAACCTGCTTTGTACGTTTATGCTAAGCGCAGGCTGGGTCTTATCTAATCTGAGGCCATGAGGGCCCAGGTGTGTTCACTCACCATCTTGGCGTCAGGTGACAGCAGATTGTGGCTGTGGTCCAATCCTCCCGGAGACACCTGCTGGAGCACTGACTGGCTGGTCGCCATCGCGTTGCTACTGTGGTGACTGATGGCCGTGGAGGAGGTGACCTCACCGGGGCCTTGGCTGTAACGCACTGACAGAGAGGGAGAGAGAGACAGTTAGTTTCACTTGCGGTGTCCTACAACTAAAACAGTTAAGTAGGGCAGAGAGATAGCAGCGCAGTCCTCATTCTGTGCTGAGAAACGACGCTGTCTCCCCAACCAACCTGCTCTTTGACTCAGACAGGGGAGGACAGAGCAAACAAACACACTGATCCGTCTGCTGCTATCTGCGTAGCTCAGCCAAGGCCATTCACTGTGTTCACTCATTCACAACAGCAGAACTCCCGTCTGATTAGCACACAAATCCTAATGATGATGTTCGTAATTACGTCAGTCTGAAGCTTCATTAGTACCAACAACAAAATGTAATTAGAAGAAATATCTGTACGTAGAAATTAAAGTACTCTTTCTGCAGATAAACAGCCCCCCCAGATTTTTAATACTGATACATCAGTGTGTAAGCAGCATTTTACTGTTGATAAACAGTTGGTAGTTTAGTCCAGTGTTTTCCAACCTAGAGGTAAGACTCTCTCCAAAGGGTCACAACAGTGGTGGATTTTCCTGCAGGTGACATAGGTGGCCACCATGTAACATGTAAATTTCCTTTTAATTTAATTTAATTTCATTTCATTTCATATTTTTTAATTTTTTTTATGTTGTTTTTTTTATGATTTTTTATTTTATTTTATCTTATTTTATTTTATTTTATTTTGTTTTGTTGTTTATTTTATTTTATTTTATTTTATTTTTCTTTGGGTGGGGTGGCAGGGGAAGTTCCCTAGGGTGCCAAACATGCTAGGTCTGGCAGTTTGCTACTTACATTTATTTGGGGAAATATTGGATAAATGTACCTCTTCCAGCCTAAATTAAACATCAGAGAAGTGTATTTCATAAGCTTATTATATGTCTTCTGTTGGGTTTTTTTTTTTTTCATATAAAATCTTTTAAAACATTATTTTCCTCTCTGACATGTAGATGAGTATAAGTATGAAGTGGCAGTAAATGGAAAATGCGGTACTTAAAACATTCTACTCAAATACAGTGCTTGAGTAAATGTACTTTTTGTCCACATATTCACAGTGAAGTTGAAATGAAAATGCAATTCTTCTTTTAGTGCCATCGCTTAATCCTGTGTCTAGACTTCTTGTTGTCTCTCACTGGAGGCCCAGAGGAATGCTTCACCCCACCAGCACCGACAATCAAATGCCTGTTTGCTGATGCAGGCCCCCTCTGATACCAACAGAGTAAACATTACACAATTACAAGCAATGTCAAACACATTCTTATCCTGTGGTCTCAGCCTCATACAGACACAGAGAGCGTCCCTCCCTCAGTGACAGTGTAGAGACAGACTCTGTTTGCGCTCAGATCTCCCATCTTCCCCGAGCCTTCCGTCCCTGACCCAGGTGTGACAGCCTGAATGCCCTGCCGAAGTCGGTCACACATGACAGGAGGCATTGATATACAGCCGTTTTGAGATAAAAGAGGGAGAGGCGCTGACGCTAAATGAGGCCAATGAGGAGGGCATTGATTTCTTGTCGCTGCTGGAACCTGGAACAGGATGTGTTTGTAGATGTGAATGTTTGCTTCAGGTATCAGGGAAACAACTGGGCATCATTTGTATATCCTGAAGTCCTGCAAAATCTTTGAGTTGATGTGTGCAGATTCACATGTATCCCAGCAGTAATCGTAATAATATTGTAACGATGTCATACATTTAAGGCAATAGTTTGAAGCTTTTTAAGAGTTAGCTGAGAACACTGATACCACTCTCGAAGCTATAACCAGAAGCCGGCTATCTTAGCTAAGCATAAAGATTACAAACAAGTAACAAAATTCACTCACCAGCATTAACAAACAAGACATTACATGTTAGCCTACCTAGTGAGTGTTAGAGATGCTGGTAACTTTAGGCAGATTTTTTTTGCATTTAGACAGAGCCACACTAGCTGGTTCCCCCTGTCTCCAGCTTTTATGCTAAACTAAGTGATCTGTCTTTACGCTTCAGCTTTACATTTAAGGGTCCTGACATACCAAGCTGTGTCAGCTGTCAATAAATGTTGAGCTGTCAGTGAGTGACTGTCGCCCTAGTTTGTACACCCTTCATCGTTGGCACTAGTCGGCCTTTGTCGGTTGTTTTTCAGCTGATTCGGCATGTCGGCATCAGACCAGCGGAGCCCAGTAGAGCATGAAATCGCTCTTATTGGTAGTTCAGCTCAGCGCACAAGGAGAGAAACAGAAGTGAGGAAAGTGAACGACTAGTTAAGAGGGTGTGAGATTGAAACAGGTAGGTAGGTAGGTAAGATTTTTCTATTTTAGTCATGGAGCTCTTCAGCAGAAACTGTTCGTACGGTAGATATCATTTGTTCTTTCTAACATCTGGTTGTGTTGTTATTGTGCTAACTGGCTAACTAGCATCTTGATTCCATCCTGTCAGTCTTCCTGTTTCCCTTTTTGAATGATGAATACAGACTGCCGCCGCTTGCTGCTATGAAGACTTAATTCCGCTCACGTACGTGCTAGTTTGCCATTGACTGTAGTCATTGTGGTGCATTCAAGCGTAACTTTTTGGCCAAGACACAGAGGACATGAGGTGACCAGCCTGTTCTCACTCTCAACTTGTCAAATACTGCTGCTTTGTCAGTGATTTTGGCATATGAAAAGCACCAGGCGCATCAGTTTTAAAGGCAGCATGCAACAAAGTAGTTAAATACTGTCGCTTTGTAAGTGGACCTCAGCCTCAGACATAGACGCAGTATGATACACACCAGTCGGTGGCGGTTTGTTGCGCTGCTGGCAACTTTCGTAATATAAAGGAATGAGAAAGTCCATGCAGAGCAGGCGGGAGGCCAGTTGGATGGGTCAAACAAACTTTGGACTTTCACCTGGGAGCCTGCCGTTTGGTTCCTGTGTGCGTTTTAAGATAAACCATGATGTTTTTTTCTAATCCTATCCACATGCTTTTGTTGCCTAATCCTAAAATCAACCTAAAATTGAATTATTTTACCCACATTGTACGTTCATTTTGAAAAAGACTTCATGCATGAAACAAACAGAAACTGTACCTTTCCTGTGAAGAGGGAAGTGTATTTTGAAAAGATTTCACTGCATGTGACAAGCGTAAATTGACATGTCGTCTGTAAACATCCAAAACAAATGCAGGAGGGTATCCCAGTGTGTCACATTTTGATGTGTGTAGCTACTGATGACATTTGACAAATTGGGATTAGAGCATGTAGAAGGTGACACAACAGTTGGCCTTTGTTGCCACTGGTTTGGTGTGTCTGGGTCTTAATGCACAGACATGAGAGTGGAATTAATCTTCAATTTACTCTCAGCAAGAAGCAAACAAGCATATTTCCCATAATGCTGAACTATTCCTTTAACTACAGACACTTAAAATACAGACACCGCCATGTCTGAGGCCACAGTGCCATATTTCATCCTTGAAACTACCTGTCGTCCATTTTGTTCAGCCCACAGACTTCATATTGTCTTCAGCAACATACTAGCAACCCCACAACACTCCACCGTGCCTTGTAAACACTGCCGCAGAACAATAAAGCACTCCATTGGACTCATGACCCCCATTGCCACAGAATAGAGGAGGACTCATAAAAAGGCAGTTATCTCGGTGCTGGGTGACCTCTTAAAGTGTCAGAGAGAGAAAAGGATGCTATTCAGGCCAGTTTTGTTTCTTTGGGTTTGGCAGTAATTCTAGCTGCAGGGAACCTCAGAGTAAGTAAGGAGGACTTCCACGATCTGAACGAAGAGACTCTGAGTTTCTTGAAAGAAGATTTTCTACAGACACTTACTAATCCTACTAGGGGATTCTGTAAAACTGAATTCAGCAAGATGGGACAATCCATGAAAAACGGAGGCATCCTTTAGGAGAGCAGGGGGAGGGCGAGAACCTCAGAAGAGGAGTGGTAGCAAGGATCTTCAGCAAGTTTAAAAGGCTCTAGCTCCCTGTGTGACCCATGTAATATCAAAGCATGCCTCCCCAACCCCAGGCAGTGCTCATTGTAGTGCCGCTGCATATGACAGACCTCCTGGGTCTCTGCAGGACGTATCCAGTCCCTTCTTTGTGGCTCACTGGGAGACACAGAGCAGTGGAAAGTGCAGAGCTAGGCCATCCTTTTCTGTGTGTGTCTTGTTTCAAGCTAGCCTGAGGTGACGGAAAGCAACACAGCCCACGGATAATCCCCCCACTGCTGTGTCTGATCAGGAACTTCTGAGTTTGCTAGTTTGTAACATGCAGAACGATGCAGCTCAGCTTACAAGGCAATGATACAGTTTTATGGTGACTTCAGCTGCCAAATGAGCAGTAGCTGAATAAGAACTTATCTAAAAATAAATCATTACAAGTAAAAGTCCTTCATTTAAAACCCTATGCAACTAAAAGTACTGGCAAAATGTACTTTAAGTGTCAAAAGTAAAAGTACTTGTCAAGCAGATAAACAACCCTTGTGACTAAAGTATTAGATGAGATTGTTACTGATGTGCCAATGTGTAGGCAGCATCTTAGTGTTGTAGCTAGTTTAGGTAGTTTAGTGCAGTGGTTCTTAATCTAGGGGTCGGTCCCCTCCAAAGGGTCACAACATAAATCTGTGGGTTTGTGAGATGATTAGTGGGGCAGGAAAGAAGAAATAATAAAGCTCTGCAATAGGGAGTTGTATTCATTTGTTATGCACCGAATCGCAATATTTGTTTTCAGTAACTTCCAGGTAGAAAACCTCTACGTCATGAACATAAAATGCAATGGCGCTGAGCAAACACTGCCTCAATTGCTTACTGTTTAGCCACCTAAAAAAAGGCCCACCCCAAAAAATTTGTATCACTTTCAGCGTACGTTATATTCAGAATATCTTCAGTGCTTTACTTTGCTGATAGGCAGTGATTTCTGACAGTGAATTTAAGCTGTTATATTAAAGCCAGCAGACTCTACTGACAAAAATTGTCATTTTAGAATACAGGAGTTGCTGGTCTACCACTGCCTCGATTGGTAAGTGTGTAAGGTCAAACTGAGCTTCTGTATCAGTAGATTTGGTTTATCAAAGATGCTACGAAAGCAGCACAGTACATAACATAAGCATAGCAGAAATGTTAGATATGTCGGACCACCGTTTTTAACTATATATCTTTAAACATTACAGTTACGGGTGAAGAAATGACGAGAGAATTAAACAAGTTTGCCGATATACACATCTCCGAAATTCAAAACAACTGCCACTTGTCTATCCGGAAGTGTTAGCGCAACGTCATTGACATTCATTTGTCTTGTTTGTGAAATATTGGAGAGTTTAGAGGGGAAAAGTATTTTTGGTGGAGCAGCTAACAACTCATAGACATCTGAAAATTGACAAGGGGCCCCGACCACACACTAATTGTTCACTGATTGATCAAGCATCTTGAGTCAGTGGTTTAATCCGTAACAATGCGTCGTTTTCTGTTTGGTTATCATATTTAATGTAAAATCTGAATCTGAAAAGGTCTTTAATAAAGTGCAGCAAAAGTACAACATTTTCTCAACCTAGTCTTTAGAATATTGTTGTATGAGAAAATCTATTGACTCTAAACACACAGTTGTAAGTTATGACTCAGTCTATGAATTTATGACATTAACTAACTTGTTAGCACAGATTAATGCTTAATAGTAAAATGGCCTGAATAAGACGGATTACTTGAGCTCAGTAAACGTAATTAGTGGATGAACGGTGAATAAATATTACATAGAAAAACACAGGTGTGTGCACACATACACCTGCTGGCCAGCTATGTAATCTGCCTGAGATCAGTTCCATTTCTGAAAGTAAAAAAGGTCACCACCAAAACTGCACGTCACACTGTTTGAATGTCTATCCAGTTGTGACCGACTGTTCAATGAACTGAAGCAGAATCAATAAAAACTCCCAAAGTCAGAGGAGTTCCTTTTATCTGACCCTGCAGTGACCTTTCTCGTATGACTGAAGGTGTGGCGACGGAGGGTTTAAGGAGGGGGGTGACCAGCTTTCTCTGTAGGCGAAGAAGGGGTCATCAGTCCTGTCTGGCCAGAAAAGAGCCAATACCCCAGTGGACAGCTCCTGCTGCTCCAAGTCTGCACCCAGCCCTAGCAACTATACCAGAGCCCATAAAGATGAGGGGGGAGGCTTTAAAATCAGTTCTCCTCAAGGCCCAGCAGAGATAAATGAACCTAGGTTACAGTCACTGCAGTCTTCTAATACACCACAGACAATGGGACCCCCTGCTGAGGGAGAGTATAGAGTGTAGAAGTCAGAGAAGCCCCTTATCAAAGGCCTGGGAGATGTAGTAGCAAAGGATTTTAATTGTCCATTAAGCATGCATAATACAGGCCGTGCCCTAGCAACGCAATGAGACGCCCCGTTGAGATATTATTGTCAGGCCAGGGGCTGACACTGAAAAACAGCTGATGCTGTCGGCAGGATGCCAGCAGGACACCTTGTAAGCAGCCAGCTGAGGGTTTTTTTTTTTCTCTTTTCAGAGGAGCAAGGTGTTTTCCGCCATGCACCGACCCTTCACTTCTGCATCCTTATCGCTGACCTCTCTGGCTTGGCAACCTGAGTTCAATGCCTGGTCAGGTGTTCTGAGCAACAACAACACAAAAACCTCAAGCAAACAGACAATCACCAAAGGTAAAAGAGCAAGCCAAAGCAAACAGTTTGTTTTCCCTTCAAAGCTCGCCTCGTGTTCGAACACGAGGGGACAACAATGGGCTCTGAGAGAGACTCTCAAATCACAGTTTTATGGAGGGTGAGTGATGGCACGGAGGATAATGCTCCGTGAGGCCTATCAGCTTTGTTTTTATGTCGTATACACCAGGTAGACTCAGTCAATACTAATTACTCCAAATGCAAACATCAGGTCAGGGTGAAATGGTCAGAGCAATAACGCACAGCGGTTCCTTGTTTTGGAGACTCTCTGAGCGGAGTCATTAGCAACCTGCATGGGAGGAGGAAATGTGGAAATGACGGCGTTATGTCGAGGTAATCTGGATGTGTCTGTCCCCCCTCCCTGACCCTGGCCTGACCCTGGCCTGACAGGATTGCTGCCCTTTGTGTCATGCTTCTCCATGCTGACTTTGGAGTGGAGATTGCAGGTACAATGTGGATTGTTCTCAGTGTGTTTTCAAAGATCAGAATAACAATAGCATTTGCTCAGCTCACTCACTCATGCTCATTGATCACTTGTTGCCTCTTTCTCTGCCCCTCTGATCACATCAACTGTGCTTCAAACCTCTGATGGCATTTTCACACCGAAGAAAACTAAATCATGCACTTTTTTTTGCAATATTAACTAAAATTTGGGACCAAAGAACAAAACTTTCCTCTAAGTTAGTGTATATTTCCTCGGGCACTCTGTGTCACTTGTGTGGAATGTTTAAGCCTACGCAATGAATCTGTACACATGACATTTGAAGGGGAATGCCACCAATTTTACACATTAAATTCAATCTATAGGTCTTGGAATTAATGTGCATTATGGGTAATGTAGGCACCAGGTTTTGAGAAAGACGGTGTCTCTTGTTCTGCTGCATCAGTTTTTAGACTTTTCTTTTTAAATGGCCTGACACTGTTATGAGAGTGCAATGCTAAATTGGTAGAGTAAAGGAAAATCATTTCACATCCTGTCTGCTCTCTGTGATGCTGAACTGCATGCAAAGAAAAGCCACCTGGCATCTTACTGGGAGGTGAAGTGCTGTTATGATGTGGCGAGCTGTGTGACAGCAGAGGGTTCATGCTGTGTGGCGGTACGTTGATGGCGTCCAGGGCTAATTTCTGCCTGAAGGCTTCCTCTTTACGTCGGTTGGCAAACCAGTTATAGACTCGCACTTCAGTGACCAGATTAGAGCCGAGGCCCTGAGCTTTGGAAGGGGAGACGCCTCTCTGGAGACACTCGGCTCTGCAGGAGACATATGTGCACGGAGAGAAACTGGGGTTGGCGTTGTTTGGGTAAGATTAACGTGAGAGAGTAGAGGAAGGTGTCATGTTTATCTACCTGTTGCACTCTTCTACCAAAGCTTCCCTCTCCTCCTTGCTGGGGTTCTTCTGCCGTTCATAGGCCTGGTACAGGATTTGCTGGGATGCAGGACCCCATTTGAAACGGTTACGTCTCATTTTCTTGCAGGAGGGTTCGCTGCCGACCTCGTCACCAGGCTGGCCCATGCCCTGACTGGTTGGGTTGTACTCTGGGAAAAAAAACATCGGATCCTGATTGCCTTTGTCTATCATGTTGCTGCCAGAGCCTTGCACTGCCTGGTTGAACTCTGCAAAACAAGGAGAGGTTCATTCAACAAAACACAGTGTTTTCTTTTATTGCAAAAATGGGAACTACAGGAGAAGACATTTGTAAAAGTTAGTCAGACACATGAAAGTGATGTTTTCAATCCATAAATAAAATTCCTCTTCTGATGCATTATGACAAACTGCAGTGGGATTTAGCACAGGCCTGTTGCTGTAGGTGCATGTATGTGTCATCCAGCATGTGTATGTCAACTCAACTTGATATCCCCACAGGTTTGAAACCCAAATAAATCGCTGTGCTGCTGCAAACTACTGTACATACAAGCCTGGGCAAAGCTGTGAGAAACTCAAATATTAACTTACGTCGGAGAATTTCCCGCTGTTTCCTGACATACCAGGTGTAGAGGGCCGCTCGCTTCTGTGTTTTCATGGGCGTGCCTTTGTTGAGGTGCTGGGAAAGGTGAGACTGGTTAAGCCCCGTGACGTCCACCACCTCCCTTTGGGGGATGTTGTGCTGTTGCATGTAACCTTTGATCATGCGGGCAGCACGCCATGGATCCTCTCTGGGTTCAGATAAAACACAGGAGCAGAAAACACTCATTTCACCACTGAACTTCGTGTGACTCTCAGAGGGAAGTGGTAAAGAGCAAAACCAGCTTTAATCACATTTAATGGCTGAAATAAAGTTGTTTGGTCAATGTCATGCTGTCATACGTCATGAAATGCCTCATGTGAAGGGGAAATTTTGGTAGTTTTGTTGTTTTGTTTTGAAAGTTGTTTATTCATATCTAATTAAATCTACAGATATAGAAATGCTCTAATCACACACACATATGAGCTTGTTCCTGTTCTTCAGCTTCACTGTTTTTCAAGGCCTCAAGTTTAAAGGGTAACAAGTCCCTTTACTGACGACCTGTTTATCATTGTGTTCAATAGGCTGTAAATATTTTCAAAGGTTAGTTCAAGTGGATTGAGGCAGGTTGAGAAACTTGGACTTAGCGTTTCAGCCTGGAAACAGTTAGATTAGGTTCATGTAAATTTAAAGGAAGCAAATCTAAATTAAAAAGATCCCAAAAACTGTGAAATAATTTGTAATTATAATCAAGTAGTTTTTACTTTTCAGTCTCCATATAAATATATATATGCCTATTTGTAGGCTATACATAAGTATAAATGAAAATTTATAAATGTCATCTAAGGTCAGGGTTACTAGTTGTCTGTAAAATGAATGATATAAAGAGGTTAATTTAAAAGAAAGGCAAAATTCAGCAAAAAGAAAGATTTTTTTCTTTGATTCCAAATACACGTTTAGTATTAAAACATGGTCTTACCTGTAGACTTAACTTCTCCATTATTAGTCAATTTTTGGCAGCAGTTTTAAAGTGTAACATAAACTACACGGAGGTAAAACGCAGCCTAATCCTACAGTCCGAGATTAGCGGGCCCAGTCACACTGACATCGGTAATTATAGCAAATCTACACACGTCTGTTTGTTTTGGAGAATGTGAAGGCCTACATCTAAGTCTGTGGGTTAAGTGGGAGATGTTAGTTTATAACTTTTGACAATGAATAACCAGATCTCCATTCACTCTAATCACACGCCACTGTGTATCTTTCAGTTGATGATTTATAGAATAAAATTAATAATAACTTAACTACACGTGGTTAGTTTTGATATTCTTTCGGTCCGTGTTGGAGCCTCAGATATTAGTGTTACAGTAAATCAAGTGGTCTGAATGGAGATAATTAGAAATAAATGAGTTAATAAAAGGGTTAAGGATGTCCAATTAGTATTTTGTTTATGTCATGATGAGTTTACTGACACATAAATAAATGGAAAAGTTAAAATTGTTTTATTTAAATTAAATTTAAATGTATTATTAATATTAATATTAATATTCCGCATGTTTTATTATATTTCCCAAGCTTATTTTCCATCCTAAATTCACAGCCAGACTTGCTTGGATTCACTTTGTCTCCATGTCGGATTTTTATCATGGAGAGGTGGAGTGTATAGTTAATAATAAATAGGATCTAAGTTCAGCTGATATTTTGCAAAGGTAAAGAAATAATAATCCATGTGGATAATTAGTAACCAGAATGTGAAAACAGAGCCGTGGCGGGTTATTTTAAAATTGTAAACACAGAGGGGAAAGGACTTTTGGTATATGAAGGGCCATTTTTTTTAAATGTGTGCGTCATTTTCTAACTTTTACACGTAAAAAATAAAATAATTTAAAGTGCGCTATAATAAACAAAATAAAGCCATATAAGCGCTTATTTTCACATTTTTCTTCAGCCCTTCAAATTGCGATTTAACTTACTTTTAACTAGTTTTTACACCTCTGTAAAAAAGTTGGAGAACTTACGCCAACATGCGCTCCACCTCCGCCCTCTGCTCGGCGGCCTCCTCCGTGTTGAGCGACTGGAGCTCCTTCAGTATCGGCGGGGTGTCGTAGTCGTCCCCGTCCTCGGAGCCCTCATCCCCGGAGAGCTTACCCTTGCTGTGGCCGTTGGTGAGCGTGTGGAAGACGGGCTTCGAGTCGGTGTCCGCCCCGTTCATCTTGACGCTCTGAGGCGGAGCGGGGGACATGGGCAGGCTCTCCAGTTTTACTCCAAAGCCCGTCGGGCTGGGGTCCATATCATCCAGGGCCTGGATCAGAACATCTTTGGTAACTCCTGAGTCCAGCAGGGCGCTGAGGAGCTCCTGCTGCAGGGATGTCAGCTTGGATACCATTTTAGAAAACATTAAAAACACAACATAGGCCTGCTGTGTGCGCGCGCTGCAGCAGATGGGAAAAGACAGGACGCAGAGGGGTGTGATAAAAAAAGTAAAAAATAAAGTTCCCTTCTTCCTCTCTGCTCCAGTGTGGTGGGGAGTTTGCGGCTGCTGACACCTGCTCCGAGAAGCTGCTTCACTTCCCTGTTGAAGGGGAGGATGGAGCTACTTTGTCATGATGCTTTCTGAGTGCAAGGGGATATAAAACGTGGTAATGAGTGGGCCGGCTGATGGGAGCCTTATGTAAATCCACTGAATAAGGCCCGCTCTGGGCCGAGGTAGACATGTGTTTACTCTGCTGCACTGCTGCTTTTATTGGCTCCCCTTATCAGCAAAACTTTCATGGACTTTGGACCCTGTTGTATACGCAGTAAAGACTTTTAAGAAAGGCGAGCTGCACATATTCACACCGCTGGATCCAGTTTTATTATAATGGCGTGTAGATGTAGCTCTACAGGTGGAGGCTTTTGTCTCTTGTCTCTCTGTCTTGTCCCTAACCCTAACCCCTTGTCTTTTCATTTATTTATTTTACTTATTAAAGGGGTACATTTCTATTATTGTATATGTAGCCTATTGTTATTGTTAGGCCTACTTAATGAGATAATCGTATAGGTGTTAACGAGCTGTTTGTTTCCTTTAATGAAGCCTAATCATCCAGGTTAATTAGTTTTTAGGCAAATACTCACATTGTGCACAGAAAAATGCTAATGTATTAGAAAGAAGAAATGGTTTCATTTTTTAACTTTCTCTGAGAAAAAACTGGCATAATAATCACTACAAAAATAATTTGGCCCCATCTCCAGAATTACATGTGTAAATAAAACGTTATAATAATCTAAACATATACAGAATGCCTTCAAACTTGGGACAAAAATCCCTTTAAAAAGTTTTAAATTGCTCCAATTGTCTCTTATCTGCGCCCAATGACAATATAAACTATTGGGTCCTTTAAGGTGCTAAATGAAACTCCTCAGTTTTATCTCACTTTGCAAATTTAGAAAAAGACCCATAAACCTTCAATTCACTCAGGAGTTAAACAAACCATTAATCATTAATGTAAAAGCAGAATGGGGTTAATTAAGGATTTTTCTCCACCTTTGTTTCCAGGTGGAACTGTTCTGTAAATAAAACAATAATAAAGCTGTTTATCCTCATTTAGCTGTGCCATGTGAACCAAAGACTGACTGAGGGCTGAACTCAGAGCAGCAGGTGCAGCGCGATGTTCAAGGTGTCCAATGTGGCTGTAAGGTCCAAGTAAACACATACACATTTATTTTGTAAGCTTTATTAAACACGATTTTATTGCAAACATCAAATGGTATGTTCTCCAGCTGCCTGCGGTTTGGATATAGTCAATAAGGGGTATTTAGCGGATCAAAAATCCTGAAAAGTAAAGTACGTGAATGAGTGATTTTGCCTCGTTTCACTGTTGATGATTTATATGAGTCTGAAAATTGCTGGTCTTCAAAGGTGGTTTAAATTTTATCTGAAGCTGTCAGAGTAAATGTGCTTTTAATCTAAATCTGCAAAAATTCTGCATTTGTTTATTTATTTATTTTTGCATGAAGACTTTTCAACATAAATCTCAGTGCATACGTTTTGGTAGAGTGTGATGGGTTTTTTTATAGAACATGCGGAAAATGTCAAAAATAAAAAATGTTGGTTAACTCAAAGTTAAAAACTCAAGTTGGATTCGTACAGAGACGTCGATCCTTTCACAATTTAGAATTAAACAGCTGTCATGTTCACACCAAGAAACATTAAATATGTAGCACAGATATTTACAGCATTGGCAAATAAATATAAATAAATAAATAAATAAATAAAAGTAAAATAACTGAACCCAAAGTTATAATTGAGCTGTATGTTGTTCATCATCATTTATTATTGTGTTGGCTGATGTGTTGGCATGTTGCAGCTTTACATCAGCAGTTCTATAGCCTGATGTAGATCAGTGTGTGTATCAGAGATGATAAATATTAAATAATAAACATTAAATGGCATTAAACAAGTAATATACTCTGGATTTACAGTTAAATGGCATCTGAAATGAGTCACAGTGGTAAAAAATTGTATTTTTACAGTGACAAAATATCTTTATGAACTTTCTGTATTGTAAAATTAATTGCATTACCTACTGACATACATAAACCCTGCAAAAAGAACATTATTTCTAGGCTATTCAAATTACATTAGTTCATGGGTGAAGATTTCAGGGATGACACAGGGGACATGTCCCCCTCAATATTTAGAACATGTACATTTGTCCCCCTGGAAGAAAAACATTAAAGTAGCAGAGGACTTTTATTTGTAAAAATGTACATTATTTACACCATAAAGTGATGCCGAAAAGGCAAAAATTGATGCATGAAAAGTCACCAAATTGCAGGAAATTAAGTGTTTGATGCTCAAACTTTTCTGGAGGAGACACACCGAAGCCCCTGTTTTATGAGTCCTACGCCCTTGCATTAGTTGACTAGCATGCTTTACACTTAGAAATGTATCAATATTACTTTAAACTGTTAAAGTTTGTATGACTAAATTCTTAAATTGTAACAAGATGATAAAAAATTGTCATATATGTTGACTCACTGTATATCCACAGTATCATGAAAATCATAAAATGTGTAAGCAGAAGGTGGTGGAGCCAGAAAACTGACCTGAGACCAGCAGTTCAGATCAGCTTCCTGTACAGACAGTTTGTTTTAAGGTATAAGTTGGCACAGAAACAGATACATATAATCTGTACGTGAGCTGTTTTTAGAAAAGAAAATCCAGGATTCTTCTGAATGCTAATGACTAACAGGTGTAATCCTTTTCTTCATAATATAATATTTTCCACAAGCACATATAATTCTGACTTTCTCTCTCTCTAATGAAGAAGGTACAGAGAAAAAAGACACAGTTTGCGCTTTCTGCAATCAAAACTTGGCTGTAAACAAAAACAGCATGGACACAGAAGCCACTGACCTCCTTTGTGAACATGCCTGGTGGTTTACAACAAGATACTTAGACAATTATTGGTTAGACATGTAATCTTTCAGTGTAGTATCAATGTGGTTGATCATTAGTAATACGTAGTATTGCCCTGAGCCTATTAGCATCGGAGCTAATATGATGCAGCGGGATTTTCCTAAACACAACATGACGTTGGTGGAAGTGCAGAAAGTGATTATGATGATCTGAGTGTAACTAATATATGAATATAACAGTAACAATACAGGAATAAATATAAACACAAAGTTCATAAGGTCATTAACAATCCACTGCTGAGTCCATGAGACACTGCTCTCTGTGGGAATGTTAATGATTATATTTTAGTGAAGCCTTATTTTGCTCTATCTTCAACTTGTATCTCTCATTTAAAAGTCCGCTGCACTTTGGGTTTCATGACACAGATTACACTCTTATCTCTGGCTACTATTCTTATAAAGTTTTCTTGAGCTGTACACTTTAGCTGCACTTCACTCAGGTGTGATTAGCGCCACTGCTGCTGTGTTATGCAGGTGAAGTTGATAACCAAGCAGAGACAGATAAATTACAGTGTGTCTGCAGCTCCGTCTCTCCAGGTGACACTTATATGACTCTGTGTTCTTTTTAAGGGCCTGGAGAAACAAATTGATTTTCTTAATAATATAATAAATGGGGCCATTTGTTGTCTGACACTAAACGTTTTCACACAGTCCCAAGAGAAGGTTTAAAGGAAAAGTTAGAAATTGGTTTGAAGCTGGAGATCTGTTGGGTTACAGGTAAATCAAAGAAAGATGATCTGGAACACCTGTGGCAGGAAAAAATAACCACATTTATTATGTTTGCCACCACAGGCATGTTAATAAATGATACTAGTTTAAACTAAGATGCACATGTTATACTTTTGTCTGAATTTAATTGAAAATGTTTATAAATCTAAGTCTAAAAAAGATGTAACTTAACAAGTGAGATTAACAGGCACAGAAACCTACGCCTTGCCACTTCTGGGTGACAACACTTTGGCGTACATTTTTCCTGGCACTTTCACATGTCTCCATTTAAAATCTGTCAACCATTAACGACAAATAATAACAAGAAGAAAAAATACAAAGTTTATCCAGTACACAGGCCCTGTTGTGAAATCGGGCCTGAGCGCTGGAGCGCGACGTGGAACAGGCACTGCCCATTAACGCTTTCACACAGATCGGTGACACACGAGTTGAGCAACCAGGGGGACAGGGACCAACCGGGGCCTGGACAGTCTACCTGTTTTCTGTAACTATACCTGTCCGTCCACATGTGCTATCGTGTCGGCACAGACCAACATACCGTACTAACATCTACTGACTGTGTAGCTAAAGCCGGATATATCTCATTCTTCTGTGCCACAAAGCTCCACTGTTGTCCAAAAAATATTAAAAACACATCAGTTAGACACACTGTTGCACTGCAGACATCTGTTTGTATCACATGTACTGTCATTTATCTTGAGTAAACCCCAGAGACGCTACCCTACTGCTGTAAATACTCAGGAGAGCACAAAATGTGTATTGATCCGCAGCTGAAAATAGCCCCGAACATATGCACTATTCACTCCTGTTTGAGTGACATTTGCTAGAAACTACAGTGCCCAGCGGTTTTAGTAAATTACTTTGCCGTTTTAAAATATGAAAGTATGTATGCGTGACCCTTTTGTAAAGATTTCCATCCTTAAAAGGAACAAGTGGCCTGAGTGCAACAGACTGGAAAGGGTAGTCAGCAAGTATTGTGAGACAGAAGAATTGTTTCTGTTGACAGTAAGAAAAATTTAGAGTGACACCAGCATTATCCTTTGACACAGAGGCCTCAAAATTATACACAGATCGGTGTCTGCCACAAAACTTTCGCAAGGGCACTTTTCAGGGTTTGATTTTGGTTTTGGAAGAGGGAAGAAACTTATATCTCCTTCCAACCTCTCCAGGTAATGGGTATCATTATAATATGTGCCCCAGGCACAAAGCTTAGTTCTAGATCCACAAAACCAGCCTGAAAATGAAGGAAAACTAAAATGATTGCATGAGAGTCTGAACTCAGCCATGTGGTTGTCAGACACTTGTCAGAGCTGGCCCATGCTACACTATGAGTGGCCAGTCTGCATTCGAGAGGCAGGAGGATGTAGCGAAGGGTCAATTGTCTGGTAGCACATGGTAAATATTATTTGTTCTTTTAGTATGGTGTTGGGTTGGTAATGTGCTAACTGGCTAACTAGTGTCTTCAATATGTCTTGTTGGTCTTCTGGTTTTCCCTTTTAAATGAT